GTAAGCCGAGGAGAGAACCACATGGTTGCGAAACTGCCCATACTTTGTCTCTGCAAACAGACTTCCTCCAATCACTTCCTTATGTAACTGACATCAGCTGATGCTGAACAAACCAATTGGAACACATCCCATTGGAGGCTGAGAGCGTGTAGGCAGTGTGCAGATGCGACAGGGACTGGTCATGTCAGAGCATTCTGAGCCCATAAAGATGTTGGAAAATAAATAAATAAGCAAATGTCTTACTCTGCAAAATTCAAACTGAATGTAATCAGCTATGCAAAAGAGCATGGAAATAGAGCTGCAGAGAGATAGTTTGGACCTCCTCCCACTGAGTGTTTCATGTAAATGTTACCTAATTACTAAATAAAAATGTGTTCTGCTTTATCTTTAAAATATTGATTTCTTAATTTTGGGTTGGAAAAGTGGGGGTCGTCTTATGCAGGGGGGTGTCTTATTAATGGAAAAATATGGTACATATTATGACATATCTTAAAAAGTAGCACAACATAAAGTTGATACTTAGGGAGTTGAAGGTGCCATTCACTATTTGTGTGTGTCTCAAACAGTGTATTCAATGTGGGCTTCCAGCACTTCAATTCCCAACGAAGTCAGCAAGTCTGTGGTTGAATAATAAGAATTTGATACAAATTATGAATGCTTCTCTAACCCCCTCTCCCTACTTCCCACAACTAGGGACAATAGAAAATAAACTTGACATCTAGGAGGTGGGACCTTTCCCACTTTGTTAGTGGTATTCTTTTATAGCACCATGATCCTAGAGCTGCTGAACTTGAATGAATATGTAAAATATAACCCACTGGACACTTATTATTAAAAACCCTGACTGTGAAAGAAATGATCAGTGGCTTTAGAGTGATAATTGTATTAACTTGCCAAAGGTTTATAAAGCTGTGGAACAGTAGATTTATTCTGAAAATGGTCCAATGTATTTTGAGTGTTGGTGCATGACTTCTAAACCATATTGTCTTTTCCAATGGTTTTCATAGAAATGTAGGTTTTCTTTTTCTCCCTTCTGTCTTCTTTTTGTCTCAAACTGCATGGACAGGCGTAAATTGCTCAAGCAGGAGCATAGCCATGAACAACCCAGATGTGGTGTTGAAGTAATCAGATAAATTGTGCAAAAGCCAGAGTTAATGTAACTCTAATGTCTTTAGTTCAGTCAAGAGGCACCAAGGAAAACATAACATCTAGAGTCCATAGTACTTAATAATGTGTTTAGGGTTTTTCTTTAGTAGTGGAACTCTGAGGTTCTCTTCAAAGTGCTCCCCCTCTCCATATTACCTATTCTATATGTGTCAATAGAAGTGTTTTTTAACATATTATTTGTACAATATGCAGATTATTGCTCAATCTATGTTGTGTTTGCAGCATCTCAAACCTACTATGCAAGTCATTTCACAGATTTGGAGCGAGCATATTCCCTAAGCCTTAGACCTGCATATGTAGCTTTCTTTCTGTTGGAATTTATTAAAGTTACTCTTGCATCATACAGGTTGGTGGAGACAAATAGGAAAGTAAGCATATAGCAAGTTCAGGCAATGGACTGGAGATTGTATTAAATGAATTGGTCAAAAACAATTAAATGAACGGTTAAATAGGTGGAAACTGATATCAAATGTTCTTTAATGTCCATATGGAAGTACAAGTGAAGGAACTTCCCTTTGCTTTGTGTTTTACAGATAGTCAGGGACTGGATTTGGAAATCTCCAAGGCAAACTCCTTTGGGTTCATTGGATGCATGTCATCTGTGCAGTATAACCATATTGCTCCACTGAAGGTTGCCTTAAGACACCCCAGCTTAGCACCGGTGACAGTCCTGGGTTCACTGTCTGAATCAAACTGCAGGTCTTTGGTTGAAATGGATGTGAATACAGCAACTTCAGTTTACTCTTCCTCAGGTACGTTCATCGCATTTTACAGGTAACTTGTGTAGTATTATGTCTTATTTACTCCTTAGCTTGACATTAGATTGTGGAACTATGGCTTATTGAAAAAATGGGCCATTCCTCTCTTTTTATAGGTTTATCAGCTGTCTCATTCCATAGGATCTAGGCAGTATGCAAATAAGATGCATAATAAGTCTTAATTATGTTGAATACATCTTCCCCATTCACCTCCTTGTTTCTTTCATGGTACCGAAAGAAACCCGGTATCCTACTTTCTATATCTATGCCACTGTCGTGATGTACGTAAAATTATTAAAGTTGGAATAATCAACCAGCCATGATGATTACCCACAGCATTGTTTCCAGTGGCTCTGGAAAGTTCTGTGTTTTTTGATATATAGATATTGAGAATGTAGATTGTTGTTATTAAGTGATCAGTCCTTTTAGCTCTTGTCTGTTATTCATCTCTCTCTCTCTCTCTCTCTCTCTTTTTTTTTTTTGGTCCCATTTTTACCAGTTAACTCTTTTGATCTCTGATGATATTTAATTAAAAAATATCAAGTCATATTTTTGCTAGCTGAGCTGAGTGGGGGATACTATTGCTCTGATCTGGATGTAGGGATTGACTGGGAGTGTGCCGCGTGCAAAGTAAAGTGGATATTACCCATAGTAACTTTCTAACAATGTATACAATACAATAAAATAACCATACAAAACAAAAATAGTAATATTACCAGTGGTTCAGATCTTATTTGTAGTTCTTCCTTTGCTAATATAAGCATGCCATAAAAACAGTACTTTTAACTCAGTAAAGCTACATGAATACAGTTCTAAATACGAAATGAAGAGGGTGACATTGCAGCAAAGGATATTTGCATGATCACATCATATTTTCATAAGGGTATAGATGAGGAAAACAAAAAATGTATTTTTGATGAACAAGTGAAAGAATTATTAAACACATTTAATTGAATTTCCAGGCTATTTAGAGCCTGATTTTTTTTTTTTCCCCATAAATAAGCTGAGACTGAATGGTGTTCCATGGAAGTGCAAAAGAATGGGGAGTTAATAATTGGGTGCTTGGTTTGCCTACAAGAAATTGGTTCATACAAAGATTCATCTGTGTCTGGACCATATTTCATCATCTGATGGATTCTGATTAGTTACCTAGAAAGAGAGATTTTTAACATTTTCAAATCTTTTTTTAACTTGGTATAATGAATTTGTTCTTTGAACTTTTATCACCCCAGATAATAGTGGAAATGCGTAGGCTGGCAGAAGCTGTTGTTTTATGTTTGCCTCTTATCCTCTCTGGTCTTAATGAGAGACATATTATACCCTGATGATGATCCAAGCAGTTCATTTCCCGCTTGTGATAATTAAATACTCCCTTGGGCATCTTAAGTGTTTTGTATGTTGGAAAGGAGAACACATTGTAAAGCTAGGGTTAGTATTACCATAAGTTGAAAGCACATACACACACAAAGAGGGCTTTCAGGTCATTTTTTCCCAGAAGGATCTTGATTTCCCAGGTCTGGCAGTATTGTGCCTGTGGAAGTCTGTCATATTTTTGTGTTTTTATTGGTATGGCTATTTTTGTCCAAGCTGCCTTGCCTTGTTTTATGTTTTTAACTGGTTTTAATCATTTCTTGGATATTGTAAGCTGCTGAGTCTTCTGGAGTGAGTGGCCATAATTCATTTAATAAATAAACATTAAAAATAATAATACATTCATCTCCCACCCCCAAAATACATTCTAAAGTACTACAGGTAGTCCTCACTTAACAACCACTCATTTAGTGACTATTTGAAGTTACAACAGTGCTGAACAGAGGGACTTACAACCAGACCTTGCAGTTACAACCATCGCAGCAACCCCATGGTCACATGATTGTGATCCAGGTGCTTGGCAACCAGCTCACACCTATGACAGTTGCAGCGTCCTAGGGCCACATGATCACCATTTATAACCTTCCCAGCCAGCTTCTGGCAAGCAAAATCAATGGAGAACTGCATGATTCACTTAACGACTGCGTGATTCATTTAATGACTGCAAAAAAGGTTGTAAAATCAGGCACAACTCATTTAACAACCACCCAGCTTGACAACAAATTTTCCAATCCCTATTGTGGTTGTTAAACAAGGACTATCTGTATATTATAAAACCTACCTCAGCTTAAAGAAGAGTAAATTACATATCCCAGCAAACTCAAGTTGCTTCCAATATACTAGAAGGATATGTCCTTAAATGAACATCTACAGATCCTGATTTTATTTTTCTCTCCTACTTAATTACAATTCAATGTTATTGTCTTCTTTCTTTTGTCCTAAGGCTGTTTGGATTTCCACCAGATCCCCCTTTCATTTCATTCATTGTATGTGAGATATTATGAAGAAAACACTAGATGCTGTTAACACAAAATAGAAATAAATTATTATAAGCTCCTTATGTTGAATGAGTTCCAGTTTACTCTCTTTTCTGTTCACTAGATTGTCTTGTCATGGCTGTTACTTACAGAGAAAACAATTCTTATTAATGTAGATTGGCAGCACCTTAAGTGGCTTTTCTGGGCATGTGTAAAAAAGATGTGTGTGTGCTCTTTCTCCATCCAAATCTGTTCTTATTTGCTAGTGCTCTAGAATAGAAGTGAGCGACTATTGTCAGTTGAGGGCTTATGAAGTTTTTAGTGACCTGCCAGCATTTAAGATGTATAAATAAACAAATAAAGAAACCAACCTGAAAATAGGGCATGCATATTTTGGTATTCTTTTGTTTCATTCCTTCCTTTTTTCTCTGTCTCTCTTTACTGTGAGAGTGATTGAGAAAGAGGAAAATTATACATCTTTTATGTAACTAACATGGTATTTGAAAGCAATTAATACTTAACAGTTTGTGTTGATTTCTTAGCTAACATTCCATTATTAATTTGGCAAATACTATTTGCTCCCAAATGTTATTTAACTGAGGTGTTTCTTTTGGAATTCATTAAATTCATTAAATGTCTGGCTTATTCTTCATTGATCACTAGATTTTAAAGGCCTCATTTTCTCCTGAGGCTCAGAATCTTAGTTTTCATTCTAGGTAAGTTGCAATGAAACTGATAGACTTTCCTTAAAAAAGGCTGAGCCAGATGCTAACCTACAAAAGTTACAGTGATGGTTGAGAAGCCTTCCAGATCAATAGAGGCACTGTGTGGAAAAATGCAAAAGATTGTGGAGAATCAGCAAAAATTGGGTGCTTCAGCTTGCACTTTCTGATGGTCCCAAGCCACCATTGGATGCTCTGATTACATTTGAAAATGTTTTGAAATGCATTACCATCATTATTTCTGTGTAATTCATTTGACTAATATGAGACAAGTTCAGGATAGAAGCACCCAAGATATATGTATAGAAGAGTTAGGTTTTTTTATTTATTTCCCTGCAAAATACAACCGAATTGGGGGCAGGGGGAATCTGTGCAGTGGAAAATTTGCACTGGTCAACATTTTTCCATCTCCTGATTCTGCAGAGTGCAAAAGAGACTCAAAGGGGAATTTCCTGCCAATGGGTTTTCATCTATCAATTTGAAATGAGTTCTATTTACCACTTATGCCTTTGGGTAAAAAGATGCTTGATCTTTTCAGGAGCACATCTCATTGGAGACACATAGTTTTTCTTCCATTTTTAATGTTGCTATTTTGTAACCTAAAAAAACACTTTCTAATATAAAATTTAAAATTTAAAGTCACCGTAGCATTAAAAAATAAATAATTAAAAATAACCAGAAGGCAATAGTTCTTAGTCCTAATATTGTTTTATTAAATCAAGAGTATATAATCAGAGGCTTTTGTTGGCCTCCAGGAGCCTTACAAGAATTGCTACCAACTGTAATTTTTTATGTGATAGAAAAGAAAAAAAATAAAAATGGGAAGCAATCAATTACATTTCATTTTATTTAAATCTAAATATAATCATATCAACTATAATGTATTTTATTTAGTTTTAAATAAAATTAAATTTCAGGTTTTCTCCAAGCCAGAATATCAGCTTTTCAGAGCATAGCTATTGGCATCCCACTCAGTGCCTAATATTGTCCTTTGCTCCTCCAAAATTTTGTAGATTCTTGGTTTAAGTTATGGTATTTCTTTTTGAAAGCACATGGAAGGTATGCAGATTTCAAAGTAACCACAATCTACATTTACACTATATACAGTCAGGTCCAGAATTCTACACAATTCTAACATCTTTGGCTCTATACATCACCACAATGGATTTGGAATGAAACAAACACTTTTAGATGTCGTTTGGCAAACTCTAATCTGGCCTTCCTGTTTTTGAGGCTCACCAATGGTTTACATCTTGTGGTGAACCCTCTGTATTCACTCTGGTGAAGTCTTTTTTAGATGTCGTTTGGCAAACTCTAATCTGGCCTTCCTGTTTTTGAGGCTCACCAATGGTTTACATCTTGTGGTGAACCCTCTGTATTCACTCTGGTGAAGTCTTTTTTAGATGTCGTTTGGCAAACTCTAATCTGGCCTTCCTGTTTTTGAGGCTCACCAATGGTTTACATCTTGTGGTGAACCCTCTGTATTCACTCTGGTGAAGTCTTTTTTAGATGTCGTTTGGCAAACTCTAATCTGGCCTTCCTGTTTTTGAGGCTCACCAATGGTTTACATCTTGTGGTGAACCCTCTGTATTCACTCTGGTGAAGTCTTTTTTAGATGTCGTTTGGCAAACTCTAATCTGGCCTTCCTGTTTTTGAGGCTCACCAATGGTTTACATCTTGTGGTGAACCCTCTGTATTCACTCTGGTGAAGTCTTTTTTAGATGTCGTTTGGCAAACTCTAATCTGGCCTTCCTGTTTTTGAGGCTCACCAATGGTTTACATCTTGTGGTGAACCCTCTGTATTCACTCTGGTGAAGTCTTTTTTAGATGTCGTTTGGCAAACTCTAATCTGGCCTTCCTGTTTTTGAGGCTCACCAATGGTTTACATCTTGTGGTGAACCCTCTGTATTCACTCTGGTGAAGT